TGGGGTGGGCAGCCAAGGGTGGGGGGAAGGGCTGCGTGTGCCCATTGTGTACCACCAGTGTGTGTCCATCCCATCCCATCCCATCCCATCCTATCCCATCCCACCAGCATGTGCCCGTCCCAACAGCACGTACCCATCATGTTGGGCAGCCCAGAGTGGGAGGAAGGGTTGCCCATCAAATGAGTGTGCCCGTCCCACCCTCCCAGTGTGTCCCTCACACCACCCCACATGTGCCCACCCCATGTGTGCCCACCCCACGCCCCCAGCATGCAGGTGATGCCATGGGTGGGTGGGTGTCCCTCAGGGGCCAGGCACATCTGGGTGATGCCCCCAGCCCCAGGACCCCCTGCACTCATCCCGGCTCTTTCCTCCCCCAGGAACGCTCTTGCTGTGGACGCCCACGGATCTTCACGCCATGACTCTGGCTGGTACGACACTGTCATGGGGCTGCGCATGAGCACAGGGGACCGCATGGCGTTCCCAACCTCGGCCCCCACCCCATCCTGGGGCACCCGTAGCTTGAGCAAGATCTCCGCCCAAACTGCCCTGGGAATGGCTCTGCCCTAGGCTAACTCCCATGCTGGGACGCTTATGGACAAGATGTCATGCGTGTGGTTACCACACTGGGATGGACATAACTCACGTGGCCATCAGTGAAGCACCCACCTCTGCGTGCCTCAGTTTCCTCTGTGCATGCCTTGCTTCTTCCACTCAGACCACTCTGTTTGCAATATCTGGGCCAACTTTGTTGCCAGCGCCCGTCCCAGCCCTTCCCTGTCCCGGGCATCTGGCAGGACCCCCCTGCCCTTCTGACCCTGGTCTCCCTCTGTCTCTTCCCAGCTTACAAAGAGAAGATGAAGGAGCTGCCTCTCGTCTCCCTCTTCTGCTCCTGTTTCCTCTCGGACCCCCTGAACAAGCCGGCATACACGTATGAAGGTAGGAGCCTGCTGCCCACCCACAGCTGGGGGGGGCCTGAACAGGGTGGGGAGCTGTAGAGCCACCCTTGGCATGAGTGGGGTCACCCTGAAACTGAGAGAGGTGGCTCCACAGTTTGCTGACACCGGCTGGAAGCAGGGGGATAGGTCAGGGTTGAGTGAGGGGGGATTCGGGCAACCCCCACAATGTGCCACCACCTTCCATGATGTCCCTTGGAGGGATGCCCAGTCCCTCGGCTCGCCCAAACATCCCCAGCTCGGCACCCTCAATGAGTGTCTGGGGGTTCCTACTCCAACCCATGACACTGGGGCTGAGCCACAAGGGTACAGAAATTTGGGTGAAACCAGTGGCGATAGGGGAAGGTGGTGGCACATTGTGGGTGTGGGACCACAGGCCGGTTTGCCCCGAGGGGTGGGATGCGCCCATGCCGGTGGTCAGCCCATGCCCCTCTCCCAGCAGATACGGTAGACCTCACCTGGTGTGTCATCTCCGACATGGAAGTCATCGAACTCAACAAGCGGACCTCGGGACAGTCCTTCGAGGTCATCCTGAAGCCCCCATCCTTCGATGGCATCCCCGAGTTCAACGCCTCCCTGCCCCGGCGGCGTGACCCGTCCCTGGAGGAGATCCAGAAGAAGCTGGAGGCGGCAGAGGAGAGGAGGAAGGTCGGGCTGGTGGTGGAGCGGCATGGGGACATGGTGTGGGGACATGCGACCTTGCGCTCGGGGCGCTCGCTCGGCAAGGTGCACCCACCTTTGGGGATGTCGCTGAGTTCGGGAGGGCGATTTTGGCTGGGAGGGGAAGGGATCTGTGGTCCATGTGGCCATGATGTCCGCTTTGCCCACGCAGTACCAAGAGGCTGAGCTGCTGAAGCACCTGGCGGAGAAGCGGGAGCACGAGCGGGAGGTCATCCAGAAGGCCATTGAGGAGAACAACAACTTCATCAAGATGGCCAAAGAGAAGCTGGCACAGAAGATGGAGTCCAACAAGGAGAACCGTGAGGCACACTTAGCGGCCATGCTGGAGCGCTTGCAGGAGAAGGTGAGAGCCCGGTGAGGAGGGAGGGGGGATGTGCTGGGACACCGGTCCAGGAGGGTGTCATGGGACACCCAGGCACCCTGCATGGCTCTTAGGGTGGCATTACCCCCTGGGGACACCACCAAAAGGGGAGGTCCCCTTTTCCCTTCCCACCATGCAGCAATACCCAAAGGCAACCTCCTGCCTGGGGTGGGGGTGACCTGCCCGGGGTCCCACTGAGCCTGACGTGTCAATAGGCTCACGAGATGTCAGCAGGTGGAGAGCTGGGACCCGTATCTCCTCCACAGACATGCAAAGCCTTTGCTTTCCCCGTGTCCCGCCATGATGGCCTTGACCCATTGCTGGCCTTTTCCACCTCCCGGATGGCAGATCTTCCCCACGTCCCTTCCCCAGAGGCTGCGGAGCCGTCGGCTCCCTGGCAGAGCTGGAGGGGTCTAGGAGACAATTCCACCCTACCAGCCTATGCAGACCTCTTCTCTCTCCCTGAAGCAGGTCTGTTCCCAACCTCAGCACGGAAGGTCCCACACTCACCACCTCCAGCTCCCTCCAAAACATCCCTTCTGCAAGGAGCTCGCCCAGTGCCCTTCTCCAAACGCCTCGGCTAGCCTCGGGCCAGAGGCAGAGAGCACGAGATAATGAAGGACAATCCGAGCTAACCCCATCTCCTTGGGGCTCCCGCTCCATCCCATCTGGTTGACGTCTACCTCCTAGCTAGAGGGCAAGGACAATCTGTCCCTGAGTGCCTCCACAGTCCTTAAGCCACCCCAGGGAAGGAGAGGACGCTGTTGACCCATCGGTGGTGTCCCTTGGGGGATGAACCTCACGAACGCCCTCGTGCCTTCGAACCCCTCTGAAGCTGCTGGCCCCCGAAGCTAATGCGTGTGTCCCCCCCCTTCCCTTCACCCCCCCTCCACAGGACAAACACGCTGAAGAAGTGAGGAAAAACAAGGAGCTCAAGGAAGAAGCCTCCAGGTAAAGAGGCAATGGTTGGACTGACGGCTCCGGGGAGGTGGTGGAGGCTGCCGCGGCGCAAGGTTGGCCGGCGGAAGGGTGGACGTTGCTCTGCTTTCTTTGTTCGTGAATGTAAAGAGTTGACCAGT